ATCGACATTGAAGGAGATGGAATGGAATGCGCAAGGCAAAGGTATAACCTAGGGCATTTCATTTCACCGGTCATAGGTGTGTAGAGAAGTTTATGACCGGGTTTAGGATAGATGGCCGTACTATCAAGAGGAGCAAACTTGTTTGCATATCGGTCATCTAGTGCCACTCGAGTGATCTAACTTTGCATTGTCGCTAGGATCGAGTGGGCGTGGCAAGTTGAGTGGCTAACATCCTTTGGGAAATGATTGTGAAAATGCTAACACACATACACATGGTGGTGAACACTTGGTGGTGTTGGCACATTTACAAAGGAAGTGGTGTTTGCAGGGTGAGATGGGTTTGGTCCCTCTCCCTCCCGCCGACTTGCTTTCGGTGGGATTCGGCGCCGGGAAAATAGAATGCCTATTTTCTATTGCGCGGATGCAAGTTCTTGTGGTTAGCACATTGGAGCAAGGGTGAAGAAGTTAGAAGTGAAAACGAGTTAGTCGCGAAGATCTTTGGCGTCGGTCAAGCGACCGGACGCTGGATCTAAGAATGCACCGGATCTTTGGCGAGTTGCGTCCGGTCGGTGACGATATGATGACGTAGAAGCCGGAGTGTGACCGGACGCCGGCCGCATCCGATCAAGTGTGACCGGACGGCGTCCGGTCGAGGTCGATACTTTCTTGGAAGCGACCGGACGGCTGGGGAGTTCAGCGTCCGGTCGATTGAAAGCCGCCATCGTCCCGTCCAAGTCAAGTGACCGTTGGAATCGGACACATGGCTGTCTGCAGGCGACCGGAGCGTCCGGCTGGCCCGACCGCTGCCGATGAAGGGGTAACGGCTAGTTTAGCCCTTGAGGCTATAAATAGAAGTGGCCCTCGGCCATGGTGTCTTGAGCACCCTCAAGGACTTAGTGTCCATGCTTGTGAGTGCTTGGAGCCCTCCATCACACATATACTTGATAGCGATCATCCGATTGTGTGAGTGAGCGATTCTAGTGCGATTGCATCGTGAGGTTGCATCGAGTGGCACTAGGTGATCGAGTTGCGAGCCGGTGGTGCTTGTTACTCTTGGAGGTTGCCACCTCCTAGACGGCTTGTGGTGGTCTCCGTCGAGCGCGCCAAGAAGCTTGTCGCGGCGCTCCAGAAGTGCTTGTGAGGGTACTTGTGCTACCCATGGAGTCGCTAAGAGCAACTTTAGTAAAGCGTGTCATTGAGCTACCCTCACTCAAGGGGTAGGTTCTTGCGGCGCCCGACGTGCGGGCTTAGCGGGTGATGCTAATTAGTCGCCGAACCACCAAGTGAGCGGTCGACACAACGGGGACTAGCGTGTTGGCAAACACGTGAACCTCGGGAGAAAAATCATCGTGTCAACCTTGTTCTTCCCGTTGGTTTGCATCCCCATTACACAAGCTTGCAATTACTTTTATATATCTTAAGCTTGTGTAGCATAGAAGTAGCTCCCTTGCGTGGCTAATTTGGTTTTAGTAACCTTATTAGTCACATTGCTTAGTTTGTGTAGCTAAGTATTTGCGCTCTCTAATTAGGCATTGGTTGCCTTGTTATTGAGCTTTGCTAGTGAGCTTAGTTGGCTTTGTGCTTTTGCTTACTAGCATGTGTAGGAGCTCCCTTGTTGCTTAAAGTACTAGTAGCATAGGTTTGTGTGACCTTGCTCCTAGAATTGTTTAGGAGAGCTCTAGCTAGCCCGACACCTTAGTTGCATAATTAGTATCTTGGCAAGGTGATAGTGAGCATATATAGAGGGGTGTAGTCTTGGCTAGACCGATTGTTTTAATTCCGCATTTATATCGGTTAGCCGACGCGATTAATTTTAGGCGATTAATTTTAGAAAAGACTATTCACCCCCCTCTAGTCCGCCATCTCGACCTTTCAGTTAGGCCTTCAACATCGGGGACCTGGTGCTTCGCATCGTAAAGAGCAACAAGAACCGCCACAAGCTCTCTCCACCGTGGGAGGGACCGTACGTCATCGCGGAGGTGCTCTGACCAGGCACCTATAAGCTCAAGACCATCAACGGTGAAGTCTTCGTCAACGCCTAGAACATCGAACAACTATGTTGCTTTTACCCTTAATCTGCGGTTCATTTTTTGGTTTCGCTATCGACTCCTCGATCTTTAGTGACACCCGACCCCAGCAACGGTAAGTGGTCTGGCCTCACTCGAGGGCTAATAAGAGCATATCTATCCGGTAGGCATTCTCTATGCTGAAGCAAGGGTTACGGAAACAAACACAAGAGTAAAACCGGTGGGACCAGTAAGAAACCTATGCCCCAAATGACTATGGCATTTTTGTTCCCAAGCGTGATCAGATTTTTTTACCCGCCCCGAGCTTTTTAGCCTTAACTACGGAAAGAGTCAAAACACATTAAAGAGTATATCTACCACGGCAAACATTCTCTGCGTGCTGACCCTTTCTCACGTTAAGATGTAGAAGCAAGGGTTGCATAAGCGAATGTTGAGTAAAATCGGTCATCTTGCAAAGAAACCTCGTCCCAACGGTGGCTGTGGCATTTTTTCTCACTAGCGTGATCGAGTTTTTTCACCCGCACTGAGCTTTACATAATATTAACGACAAAAAGGGTTGGAACGCATTAACCTTTTTATACAAAAAGGGGAGAAGAGCTAAAATTTTGTTTAGCCAAAATGAAATTTAAGAGCTTGTCCACTTATTATAAGTTCACCGCCTAGCTTATCTACCTAACTAATTTCTTGGGAGGATGATCTCATCCTCTATCTCGACAAATAAGTCATGTGCTAGAGGGGACACCTCCTTCTCAATGTCGTCCACCTCGGCGTTGGTGTGAGATAGGCGTGAGAACCATCATAGGTAAGGAGGGATCACAGCCCTATGGCCCATTTAGGCCTAGGAGTTCAAAGGCTGCCCAACGACGGTTTCACAGCCGGCTCTAGGGTGCCCTTAGAGTGAGGGGTGGAAAGGATGGGCCACTTAGCGGCTATTAATCCAGGTGCCACAATGCTGTGGGCATCCCGTCCACGTTCAAGTCTTCGTCGGTTCCCGATCCATAGTTTTTCCTCGAAGAATGGCAATGAGCCCTTGGGACCGATCGAACGGACTTCGAGAACTATATGGATTGGTCATGAGAATCTAGAGTTCCGTCACCGACTGGCCCAAGCGGACCCCCATGAACGGAAGGCAGGGGCCCCACTTTCGGACTAGCAGATTAACACTCACCGAGCACCATGTTTAAATCCATTGAGGAAAATCATGTCACGGCTCAGCCCTCTGCTTTATCGAAAAAATGCTTGAGGATGACATCACAAAGACGAGCCGACCCTCGTGGGACCCCCTACTACACGCGGGGGCTCAAGGGAAGTTGGACTCATAAGGAGACCCGAACATGCGGTCACAGGCTTATATGACCCGATCGGATCCTAGGGGACGGAATCAAGAAAAATCTTTCCGACCTCCCCGAATCCTACGGTTACATGCCCACAAGAAGACCAATAGTGACAAAGGGAATCACCGTCCCTACGGGGACACGCCATGGGCTACAAAAAGAAGGCCAAGGCCCTCAAAGTCCTCCGTCCGGAAAAACCTCCAAAGGAGTATTTTACTCCTCCGCATACTCAAGGGGCTCTTTGTCGATGTCGATATTAGGGATACCCAAAGCAAGGAAGTTAGCACCTGACTTCCCGGATGGCTCGAGGCGTATTAAAGGTATCGCTTTCGACCCCAAGGTCGGGGTTCGCCTCGCCCACCTCGAGGCCCTTGGCTCCTCGTCCGAACCCCCTTGGGTGCGGGCTCCGTCTTGCCCGACCCCAAGGATCCTCGCCCAAGGTCGTGGGCTCCATCTCGCTTTGACCCCAAGGACGCGCGGAGTTCCGTCTCGTCAATCGTGTGACCCATACTACCGCCAACCACTTCAGTCCAAGCATATGGGCACGGGTCAAAACTCGGCGCTAAGGAAGAGGGTGGCACGCTTGATGTAACCCATGACCATAATGGGCCATATCGAGGGATTCACATCAAGAACGATGTGTCACGTCTTTGTATTCGCCTAATCCTTGTAATGGACACGGTGATAAGCGTGTCGAGTTCACCACGACATCCGTGGGAACGGAGTGGAATGCCATGACCCAAAGGCAGATGACGTCTGGCATGGCGCTGGTGACAAACAGTCATGACATGGAGCCGCCCCTGTTAATATCTACAGATCGGTGGGACCCGCAAAGGAGAAAAAGAACCCAAACCACAGAGCCTTCTTATCTCTCTCGTTCTTCTCTCCTCTTCCTCCAGAACCCGTTTTCCTTCGTCTATAAAAGAGGAAGCGGGGCACTCCATGAAAGGGGGATCTTGACACTAGAGCACGACACGAGCACAATGGCCACAAGCGAGCTTTGACACCTGCCACCTTCCACTTGAGACTTCCGGATCATCTCCCTCTCTCACTGTTTGTAACCCCTACTACAAACCAAGTGCCATGCATATCTGCAAAGAAATGGCCCGGACGTGGGGACGTTCGCCAAACCAAGATAAACCCTTGTGTCCTCAAGAACACACCATCCGAGCTAGACGCAAGAAATACAAATTTACTCGTGATGGCCCGGCAAAACACCTGACAATACTAATATATTTTTTCTAAAAACTCAGCCATAATTAGAAAGCTTGACTTAGCATGGAGCTAAAGTCTACTATAATTTGAAATTCAGGATTATATATACAATAATAAAACTAAGCTAAAGTTTACTATTCAATTATTGATTGCTTAAGATATTCACTTAGGGTCAAATCAAAAATCAAAAGTACAAAATAGTGCACATTGAAAAGTATGCCCACGCCCACGTTAGATCAAATCAGATTGTAGAAAAGCTTGGGTATTTAGCATGAACTTGTCTCGCTGCTGGGTACTGGTGGATGAGTGTCGTCTACCCCACACACGACGCACGCATAGCAATAGAGCAGCAGTCCTGACATGACAACGACGGCTAATACGACAGATATGGCGGAAGGAGCTCCACTTCGTGCTGGTGCCGGTCATGGCGCAGGGCCACTTGCTCCCTATGCTCGACCTGGCGCGCCTCATCGCAGGTCACGGCGCGCGCGTCACCGTCGTGCTGACGCCCGTGAACGCCGCGCGCAACAGGCCCTTCCTGGAGCACGCCGCGCGGGCGGGGCTTGCCGTCGAGTTCGCCTTCCCGGGACCCGCGCTGGGCCTGCCCGAGGGCTGCGAGAGCGTCGACATGGTGACGGACCTGTCCCTCATCGTCCCGTTCTACGACGCCATGTGGCTTCTCGCCGCGCCGCTCGAGGCGTTCCTCCGGTCGCTGCCCCGGCGCCCCGACTGCCTCGTCGCCGACTCGTTGGGCCCCTGGACGGCGGGCGTCGCGTGGCGCGTCGGCGTCCCGCGGTTGGTGCTCCACGGGCCGTCCGCGTTCTACCTCCTCGCCGTGCACAACCTCGCCAAGCACGGCGCGTACGACCGCGCCGCCGGCGACTTGGAGCCGTTCGAGGTGCCGGACTTCCCGGTGCTCGCGGTTGTCAACAGGGCGACTTCGCTTGGGTTCTTTCAGTGGCCAGGGATGGAGAGGTTCCGGCGGGAGACGCTGGAAGCCGAGGCTACCGCTGACGGCCTGCTCGTCAACACCTGCTCGGCCTTGGAGGGCGCGTTCGTCGAGGGCTACGCGGCGGCGCTCGGCCGGAAGGTTTGGGCTGTCGGGCCGCTCTGCCTCACCGACACCGACGCGGCCACGATGGCGGGTAGAGGCAACCGCGCGGCGATGGACGCCGAGCACATCGTGTCCTGGCTCGACGCGCGGCCTGCAGCGTGTGTGCTCTAAGTCAACTTCGGCAGCATCGCCCGCCTGTTCCCAACGCAGGTCGCCGAGCTCGCCGCCGGCCTGGAGGCGTCGCGCCGGCCGTTCATCTGGTCGACTAAAGAGACCGCCGGACTGGACGCAGAGTTCGAGGCCGCTTCAAGGACTACGGCCTCGTCATCCGCGGGTGGGCGCCGCAGATGACCATCCTGTCGCACCCCGCCGTCGGCGGCTTCTTGACGCACTGCGGGTGGAACTCGACGCTCGAGGCCATCTCCGACGGCGTGCCGCTGCTGACCTGGCCGCAGTTCGCCGACCAGTTCCTGAACGAGGCGCTGGTCGTGGACGTGCTCGGCGTCGGCGTCCGCGCCGGCGTGAAGGTCCCGGCCACGCACGTGATGCTCCTGAATCCCGGGGACCCGCTGGTGGTGCAGGTCGGGAGGGACGATGTGGAAAGGGTGGTGGCCGAGCTGATGGACGACGGGCCAGCCGGCGCAGCGCGGCGGGCCAAGGCGAAGGAGCTCGCCCACAGTAAGGTGGCCGCGGTGACCAAGGGCGGTTCGTCGGACATGGACGTGAAGAACATGCTCCGGCATGTCGTGGAGCTGTCGCCAAAGGATGAACAATTGGTCCTCGGTGCGGCGGAGGCTGGAGCGCCCGTCCTGCCTCGTACCGGCTCCGTCCTGTCCCCGTCGCCTCGACGCCGCTGGAGCTCCCGTCGCCTCGACGCCCTTCCCGCTGATGCCGGCGTGCGCCCCTGCTGGCGTACCCTGTCACGACGCCGAGCTAGCGACGAGCACCCACCATGTACGTCACCAGGACCCTATATCCCCATCTGTTTTCCCTTCTTGCTGTGCCAAACGGAACACCTAAACTCAAATCCTAACAGCAGCACGTGGGCGAAGACGACCACGGCTAATCCTAGCAGAAGCACACGAACGACGACAACCAGCGGAGCCGTCGCCGAATCGCCCCGTTTGAGTCTCCATGGTGCCGCGCCCTCCCCACTGACGCTGCTGCTTTGTGCCGCCGCCGCCGCCTCAGGTCTCCACCTCCGCTGACACACACCAGGCACACAGAATCAGGACGCCGCTCCGACGTCCGTTGCAACGGATCGCTGATCTCGCCACCTGTAGTCCGCGGAGCCTGCAACAGATCGGCGATCATGGCGAGCGGCCGAGCTCCTTAGCATGAACCACCAGTCCACCACTACCAGCTGGGCAGCACAAGCATCACGCCCGGGAACTCCTGCGCCGCACCGCCATCAGGCGTGAGCTCGCTCTGGTGAACAGCCAGTCCCGGGCTTGCTCCTCCGCCCTTGGTAAGCCGCATGTGAGCTTCCCCGCACCCCTGCGCTCCTTCTCCACGCACGCGCGTGTGCGCAAGGCACACTGCGCAACCGCAAGCTCGCGTTGCTGGGAAATGGCCGCCGAGCACCGGTCGTGCTCTGTTCCGTGCTCTGCTTTGCACGAGCGTTCCTAGCTTGTTCGCTTGATGACATCAGGATGACATGTCCATGCTTTCTTGTCGTTTTCCTTCAGAAGAATAAAAGAGGAAATACACTAGATATATACAAGGACCCGTACCCTTCAGCATGGACTTGGTCCATGGTGGACCGCTCACACGCCACACCGCCGGTCCATGGTTCATGGACCCGGTCCGCAACATAGTCAATGCGCGCTTTGCAAACTAGCCCCTCTATTTCTGTTGAATCCCGTTAGTATTTCCTGTCTCTTGGAAAACTCACTAGCTACCCCTGCCATCTCCAGTTAATCCTAGAAATAGACCCTGCCAGCCATACATACACCTTAGTTTGCATATATATATGGGTCTTTGTTTTTAGAAGCAACTTGTTTTGGTTCATGACCTGTGTAATTTGTGGTGACAATGTGATGTCCTGTTCTGCATCCTGCTGCAAATTTTACAAATGAATTAGAAAAGTTGCTTCTAAAAAAGTCCTGCAAGTAACGTCTCATTACCATGATTACCATGACTAAATAGAACAAAACAAAGACCATGGAATGGTGCGACAATTGTTGGGTCGTCGCTCTACCTCTCCCCGTGCGACAAAATGTCGCTACATCGCTTTGCCCGGCATCGTGTGATCGGTGAAAAAGGAAACTCCCCCTCACGCAAACGCCGCCATCGCTTGTGCACGCAAAAGGAAACCTCGTGCGGCAGTTGTCACGCATGCAAAAGGAAACCTCGCCATCGATCTCGGGCGGCAGTCATCACCATCACGCGGCCTCCCTCATCCTCACTCATCGCCATCTCGGGCGGCAGTTAGAGCCCAACGAAGACGGGGAGACGCTACTCGTCGTCGCTCATTGCCGCGTCAGGTTAGTCGAGATCCACGACGACCATTCTCCCACTTGCACGTAATTCGCTGCCCTCGCGACCCTCGCCCGGACTCCTCCTCCCGCCGTGCCTGCCCTAGCCCGTCGCCCGGAGGACTTGCGCCCGCGCTGTGCCCACCCTAGCCCGTCACATGTCACCGGTAAGTCATCCGCTGTTCCTAATTTGTGGGGATGCAAACAGCCCTAAACCCGGAACTGGACCCCCCGCAGCCGACGTGCCTGCTGTCCTTCCCAGCAGCCGACGTCACTGACCCGGAGCCGGAGCCGACGTCGCCGAGGTGGACCTACGAACACCCGCCGATCAAGCATCGCAGCCCATCACGAACACCCGCTGCCCATTCCAGTTGCTGCTGATTGCCCTACTGTTCACAGACCGATAATAGCTTCCATGTGTCAAAGCGTTGTTTGTGTAAATTATGTCATGCTCTAATCGTTGTGTTGGTGCAGCCTTTGACAAAATTTTGCTTCAGATCAGCTAGATTTCTTTGGATTCACTATGCATTACATCCCTGTCACAATTACCATTATATGTGTATGGAATGGACATAATAATTGTTTATGCACCCACAGTAACCAATGGCTTACTTTTCGGTTTTTTATGCAGAGAGTTGTAAAGATTTTTGGTAAGGAGAAGAAGAAAGAACTAGACACAATAGATAGCTTCGCCTGTGAGAATTGAACCTTAACTCTTGTCACAGTTGGGCGATTTAAGCATCACTATTCCCTGTCTGCACGGATACTTTCAGGTATGTATACGCAGTCCAGTTACTGAATATGAACTATCAATTTGGGATGAAAAACTGAAGCCACTTATCTTGCCCATCCGCAAGAAATGAAAGATTTTGATTTGAACTGATTTCAGTGGAAACACGCTTTGAAATTCAAAGTTGACATCATCAAGAGCTGCTGAAGTGTTCCCGGTTCAGGTGAACTATTCTGATTTTCATAGGAAGTATGCTCTAAGGAATAAAATGCGCATTGCTAGCTAAAGTTTCAATCCCTGAACAACAATTCCAGTCAATAGAATTCAGAGATAACAAATTTCAAACTAACAATGTCTTAATAGGAAATTCACAGAACAGCCCTCAATCCAAAATACTAGTTCATACTTGCGGCCAAGCCTTTGGCCTCTGGATCAATCAATCTATAATTTGGTGATTTATATATGCAAAATATATTCTGCTGTCACTGCTTTTCATAAGGTCTTCCCCCTGTCCAATAACCATAGTTTTAAATAGTGGGCTATAGCAAATAGCGACATCTTTTTTCCAGATGCTATACAGCTATAGCGCCGCTATAGCGGGGCTATGCCAGATAGCGGTTTATAAGAAAATCATAAAAAATATGAGTAATTGATTCATAAAAACATGACTGAAATTTGATGAACACAAATATCTTTTCAAGGTTCTAGGGATATAGGAAACAATACTTAATATGATATTAGAGCATGATACATTAAACGTTCAATTTTGCTAAATACCAACTTTAAAACAAAATATAAGTAGATAATAATTAGATTGTCACTATTATAGCTGAAATTGAAATAGCGGCGCTATAGTACAATATAACGGTCATAGTTGACATAGCGGCAAAAGTGAGAATAGCTTAGCGTGGTCTCTTTCCGGTAGCCATAGCACCGTTATAGCCCGCTATTTAAAACGAGGCCAATAACACAAATGGATGTACTAGTTGCACAGAATTCTTGAACATACAACAAATAGAAGAACAATACTATAAAATTTTGTCTGAAACCTTCTCTAAACCTGTCACTTGCCTTGCTATCATGATGAGGTTTAGATTGGAAATTGTATAATCTGTTTCTTCAGCTGCAGTAAGTATGTTTTAAAGTAAGTTAGTGTTGTAATTTTGTACAAGTTGGCTTGGAAGAACTTTCTGGCTACATTTTGGGTACTCTGTAATTTTGTGCCACCAACATTGGCTTATTTAGTAATTTCTGACGTTAGAGACCATGGTCAGAATTTGACTTGTGATCTGCTAGGTTATAGACCATATTCAGAAATTCAAGGATCTGAGATTTCGAAAAAGAAATTAAAGGATATGCAGGACTTCTGATCCTCTGTACCATTATCTGAGAGTTCTTGTGTAATTATCTAAGAATATCATTATAAAGTTATAATGATTCTTATGATCTGCTATTAGTAAGTCTACTGATAGGCCAACTGAAAAGAATTGTAGTTGCTTTTGACCAAGTCATTCTGGGATCTAAATTTATTTTTTTCCTAATAATTACTGAAAATGACTGAAGCTAAGCTAAGTGCTAATAAATCGTTTTATAATCAATTGCTTAGCTGAGGAAAACATTTGCTTACATAAATATGAGCTAAAGCTGGACATTCGTGATTTTTGTAGTAGCTTTTGACGAAGTCATTCTAGGATCTAAATTTATTTTTTTCCTAATAATTACTGAAAATGACTGAAGCTAAGTGCTAATAAATCGTTTTATAATCAATTGCTTAGCCGAGTACTTACATAAACCTGAGCTAAAGCCGGGCATTCGTCATTTTAGTGATCCTTTCAAACCATCATATACTTTATCTTAATAACTGAAGTGCTGCAGCTCCTTTGAATCGGACACCAACGGTAAGGAGCTACAACATCGACAGATCATTCTTGTGACTCGGAAGGTGATCTCTGGTTTTAAATTCAAATTCACATATATCTTATCCCCTAATTTAATTACTTTTTAAGAAACAAATGGATTTGGAAATGTGGCAGCAGATAAAAGTCGTTGCTAAAAGAAATTTTATATGGCCAATCACACATGGTTTGGATTAATCAGCATGGCCTTTTTTTTTGTTACTTCACATTGATCTATGCAATAGTGATGGATGCAGCAGGTTCATATTAGGCTAGCTATGTTTACCATGCTTACAGACCTCAGCTATGGAGATTTTTCAAGACATGTAGTATTACCCATGTGGTAGGTACTAATATTTACATATATACTTGAACCTGTGTACAGGATGGTATGGAGCTGCGGTGGAACTTATTCGTGGATTTATTGGCGCACGAAAGAAATAGATATATGAGATTTCTTCCTGCCAATATAAAACATTATCTTAGCTACATCACAAAAAGGTCTATAAAGTAGAGTTTGTGAGCCTGCGACGCCGCGCTCACTGTGACTGTGTTAATTTCACAAACTTTGTTTTTTTATTAAATATCACTTTAACATTGGTATTTAATTTTTATAGTATTGTTTTATTTTATCATGCGATCCGTGTATTTTAAGTACAAAATGTTAACTATCCCATAGCAACGCACAGTCACGCTACCTAGTCTTTATATAAAACTAAGAGCTTTGTTACTGTGCTTGGTTCCTCCCAAAAAAAATATTGCCAGCAGTTAATTGTACTTAAGGTTACTTTAGTACTTTTAGCCGGTCATTAACTCTAATTGACGTTCCTTTTTCTTTAGCGCATGAAACTTACGATCTCAAGACCACGCCGCCGCCGCCGTCCGCGTCGCCGGCGCTTGCCTCCCTGAGTCGTCGTTGCTCCCGCCTGCTGTTCGACTTTAAACCTGCCACGGACATGCCTGCCGCCGCAAGGTGAACCTGAGGGCTCGGTACTTTTGCCTATCAAAGCCAAAGCGCATGGAGTGGTGGGACAGTGGGACTCCTAGGAGGAGGCCGCCGATGTGATGGGGATCACCATGGATGGCGGCATGATGCAGACCGGGCTGTGACTGACAAAATGAACCACCTGCACCCAACCATCCTGGAGAGGCAGCGAGCTCAATTGCAAGGCAGATTACGGTCAATCCCAACTCAGCAAATCGAGGTTCTTGGGGTTGTGTCTGGCAAGGCATTTGACGGTATCACCTCCTCGTAGTTCCACATGAGCCCGTGGTGATGAAGTCATACGCGTCCAGCAGCACGGGCCGGTGCCCAGGCCACGGCGGAAATCATGTACGCGCGCCGGCGACGCTGACAGTAATCAAGATGGAGAATCCCAATTACTATTATGACCTTCCTATTAAATTAGAAACAAGTTCTGGGTCCACTTATTTCAGGTTCGGATCCACCACTTAAGTTCCGTCTAATTGGTTCTTCCTATTTTAAAACCCTTAGATCTTACTAGATAAAGGGCTCTTATTTATTTCCAAGCACTATAAAATTTCACTAAAACTAATAAATATGTCTCCTTTGAACCGTTTGCCATCATGAAGAATACACTCCTGAGGCCATTTAAGTTGTCCCCCACTATACGAGGATTGATTGATTCTTCTAAGATCTATAAAGTTGGTTCGAGAGTCCGGGGGCCCAATGGCAATTCTATCCTTGAGCACTCTAAACTTCAACAAGCATTTGTTTTGTTACTCATGGAGGTGAAATATCCTAGACGGCTAAGCTTTGTTTATCGAACTCTTAAGAAAATTTGTGAAGGTTTTGATTTCACCTCCACGAGGGAAAGTGGAGCCAAGACACTTTGGGATCCTTTAGCGAAGCTAAGTGACTTAAGAGAAACACGGCTCCCTTATGAGTTCTTCAACAGAAGTAGTCAAAGAGGTGAGTTGAACTTCGATAAACGAATCATGCATCATTTTTCTTGTTTTTTTTTGTTCTTATTGCTGAATTTGACTTTTGGGTTATTCACATTTATTTACTTGTTATTGTGTTTTTGGTTGTAGGTTTTGTGACAAACCAACTCACTACATGTCCAACAACCTTAATAACAAGTAGAATCGATTAAATAGGCATAATCTTTATTGATTTGTGATTTTGCATTACCCAGTTCAGGAAATTCTGACCCAGTGCGAAAATTCCTAAACTTTCAAACTTGGCCAGATATTCCGGTCCTATAATCCGTGGGGTTTTATGCTTTTTAGGAACACCACCCTACTCTAGGTGACATCTCGATGCTTTTGTCAGCTCAAACAAATAACGAAGAGAATGGAAATTGTAGGAGATGGACGTGCACCCTGTAGGAAATAACAGAGGATGACTATGAGTTAGGGCTTGTTTGGATCCCTTTAGCCTTGCAGGCGGGCTCGTTCGCGGTCGGCCGCTAACCCGCATCGCTTGCCGCAAAGTTTATTAGCGGGTTTGCGGCCCGCCACTATGCTATAGAGTTCGCGGACAAGTTTTCCACGGACACAACGCACTTGGCTGCAAAACCCGCGAGACCCGCTACACTACAGTGTATGTGCATGTACAGTGTATCTACACGCATGAACTTATGACAAAAACAAGAGCTGGAATGGGAGCCACGCCCGAGACTAAACATGGCCATTCCGAGCCCCGCGTCCGACAGGATGGAGATGGATTGCTGGATGATGGCCAGCATCTGGAAGTTCTATGAGGCTGGAGTAGGTGTTTGGGTTGCGGATGGGCTTGCGCCACACCATGATCAGGATGAGACGGGACATCACGCTCATCGACGGCATCGCCATTGGTGTGGCCACCGCGTTGGCGTCCCCGCCCGCCACCGCCGCGTCCTTCTCATCCCCTTCCTCTGCGTCCTAGTCCATCACACCCCTGTTCCCGAAGCTGAACTCGTCGCGCTCCACGCAGTCGTCCCTACCATGGCCGCAATCGGCGTTCCCATCTGTGTCGAGGGCCAGGACGAGAGTTGTAGAACGGGCAGATGGCGAGCGGAGGAGGACGATGCCCAACACCACGCTCCCGTGACTGCGACTGCGATAGGGATCGGGAGATGCAATTGTCGCGGGTTCTTGCGGGTTCATGCGACCTCTGTCTCTTGCCCAACGGGCTTCGCGGGTTAAAGGATACTGGGCCACAAAGAAATTGCAGCTGAGCCGCAATAGCCACGAAGAGAATTTTTGCGGGGCGAGCATGCGGGTTACGTTAAGAGCCCGCCCCGCCTGCAATCTTAGATCCCTTAGACTAAGGGTTAGCTGCTAATTTTTAATCCAGAGGGATCCAGACGAACTAGCTAAAAGAGGAGCTAATTTTTTGCACACACCACAACTAGTATTTAGTTCACTAGTCGAGAGAAGGGAACTAACGAGAGCAAAAAGGGGCTAACAAGTGGAGAATGACTCTTTTATCCTGCTACTACACACTCTCCCCCGCCCCTCTGGTCTCCCTCGTCGACACCTTGCTACAGTGCCACCAATTGACCTCGACTAGTTGGCCTATGGGCTCGGAGTCAATCAACTCGCCGGCCAGGCATCGATCCACCACGTCATCCTCAATCTGCTGCGCCAGCAATGATCTGCATGCCCCATCGTTGAGCAGTCGCGCTAGCCTCAATCTGTCGAGCCTCAATCATCTGTCATATCACCGTTGTTCCTGCCCCTGCCCACGGGTGCTGTCGCCACCGGGAGAAGCTTCGTGACTAGGACATCGCAAGCAGTCAGGGGATGGAGGTGCCTACCGGGAGAGAGACACGCACAGCTCGACATTGCCTCCGTTCGGCCACCGCCTCCGACCTCGCCTCTTCGTGAGCTCTGGCTTTGTGTGGCTGCGTGATGGAGAGTAGAGATGACAACGGGGAGGATTCAGGTCGGGTGGAGTCTCCACGAAAAAACATGAAACCCAAACTCAAAACCTGGAACCGCACTGAACACTGTTTTGGTGATAATCCAAACCCGAAACGAAACCCGATGGATCGCCGAACCCGAACCCACCACTATATGGTAATATAAAAAAAAAATAAGGATTTTCTAACAACACATGCATGATATATATATATTACATATTCACATGTATAAACAAGAGGCAATAAACAACACATAATTTCATGACTCAACTTAGAACAAACTTAATAGCTTACATAAAATAGTTTATGAATAAAACACATGAGTTTTTATTCAAAATATATATTTCGGACCTCCATGGGCATCCGCGGGTGGAAACCGAACCCGATGAGCTTCCTTGTGCCAGTCTTAGTAGGGTTTTACCGGTATAAATAAATTGATATAACATAGTATAGATGAAGAGAGAAACAATGGAAATTTCATGGGATGAAATAAGTTTCATAAAAATAAAACTTGTCTACATTGTTTTCAACACATGAAAATCTTAAAAATTAGGATAGTCTTCACGAGACAGGCCTTAGGACCAACATGTATATGATTTCTTCCTTAGTTACACCTCAAAAAGAACCGTATATTTTACACGATTCGTTAGCTCCTGCTAGATATATTTCGATACTTATGGATGGCCATATGGCTTGAGGCCCATATCCACGCCCTATGGCCTGCTATTTTGGCTTAGTCCAGGCACGGTCTGACCCGATGACCACTATGCCCATATCGTCCCAGCCCGATGAGAAGACCGTGCCTGGGCTGCTCCCACGACCCAGCATGCCGGTCCAGCATGTCCCGATTAGTCTATCCTAATACTACCGTGACGTGCATATCTGGTTCGCGACTTCTCTCCCCTCCTTGCGACTTTCTTCTCCTCCTCCTCCTACCTCTCCTCCCGACGACGGTGCATGAAGCCCTCGAGGCCTCGACTAGCGTGAGAACAGCTCGTGGGCTGGTACGACATGACGCAAAGGGTTGAGCAAGTCGTGCCGACCCAACCTTAATCGGGCCATGCCTTCAGCAGGCCCGGGCCATGTGGGCGGTGGGCTGTCCCATTTGATCGTCTATACCCATCCTCGGCCACTACATGGACGTCGTCAAAAAGACATGTGCATCATACCCACTGTGGGCACGTTCGAAGGATCAGGATTCTTTCTTTGATTTAAGGTCAACATGTAAATAAATAAAAAAACTTTAAAAGGCTAAAACCGAATTTTAGCCGGCAATTGGAGCAGGCACACAGCGCACGTGCGCGACGCCTTGCCTTTCTCTTTGCTCGCCTGTCTCTCGTCTCTCCCCGCTCTCTGCCGCCAATCCCACCAATTTGGACACCACGCCATCTTTAAATAGCATGAAAATGGAGGGGAGCCCTCCCCCGATTCGCCACCCCGGCGCCCTCCTCGGCTCCACTCCGGTCCCCCGCGCCTCCGCCCACCGACGCCTAGGGCTCCCCGCCTCGCGTTGCGGTGGCCCGGCCGCTAGGCTTCGGCGCCCCCTCCACGACCAAGGGGCTCCATTAGGTGAGAGGTGAGAGGTGTTCACGCGCCTGCATTGCTTTGCTGTTGCTGTCTGAGTGCTCAATTGGCCGGTCTATCGATCGGTAGATTTCGATTCTGGCACCCTGTTCGCTTTATCGTTTATGTGGTTTATAAACCGACTGATGCTGTTTTGGTGTGAGAGAAAAATACTATATTATAGCTGATAAGCATGACTGATACGATCAAGCCAACCGAGGTCGTTTGGATTCGTGTTTAAGATAAATTTGCCATCATCGCATTCGTTCAGCTAAATGGAGGCTTACTCGTTTCCAGGCAGTTATTCCATTTCGGAAGCTCCTGCATAACATTTGGGGGTCGCATGTAGTATATATGGTCATGCGCTGGATTTCAATTGTATCGTACGGCTAGACCTGAATGAACTTTCATTTAGAAGAATGCGGTAATTTCATGGGTTGATTTTGGCGTGGTGTTGCAACTTAAATTTCCCCGTGCTTAATACCTAACGGCACGCATGCATTTGCGTGTAGTTTACTTGGGTTTGCTAATTTTTTAGCAGAAAGGAGCCCTTAACTCTAGCTGTTCTTGTCTGTGTGTGTAGCTAATGCCTTTTGAATTTCCTTTGACTGGTTGCATACTTCTGTGTAGAGATCCACCTGAATTTTTGTTGGTTGTTCTAAATGATGAAATTCGTTCGTTTAGATTGTATATCAAATTTATATGCCCATGTAATCTTCCATGGTCCTGTTTTGTTTGTGTGAAACCTATATTGGGTCAGTATGCTCATGAAAAATGTGCTGATATCAAGCTAAAGATAGTATAAGGTAAAAACTAGAAACTTTTTGGGGTTTTGTTGTTTTAGTGGTTGTCGGTCTTCAACCTTCTAAGGTCCCGTTGCTCTGTTGTAATATTGATTTTTTTTTAATATAATCGGCAGCTGTCTTGCCTATTATCTCGTTCAAAAATAATAATAATAGAAACTCGATCATGTGGCGATGGTTTCAAGACGAGTCAAAGTCCGTTGGTCATGTGTGTTATATGCAATGTAATAAATCAATAGGCACACACCCAACTGACCAGCCTTCTAATGCTACTTGTTTTTTTTTTCAGAGACAACATCTCATTATAAGCTGTGTATTATGCGGTAATGTTGTGGAACCCCAGACATTTTTTCTGTGAATACTGTTTGTGACGCACTTTGACTTATGGCTGGTTTGTAAAACCCATCCATGGCTTTGCAAGCACATTATTTTATTATTTCTTACCTCCATGTTCAGATGTCGGGACCTAATAAAGCTCCATTTAGTGGAGTGTCTGAGGATTTGAAAGGAAGAGCAGCTTGCTACAAACAAGACTGGAACCATGGATTTCGTTCTGGTTTAAGGTTTGCGCAACACCAGCATGCTGTAATTGCTTGACATGATCATGATTTAGCCTGTCGTGTTCACTGTGCTACATGAATTCTGTTGTCAGGATCCTGTTATAGCCTTTGGGGAGCAATTGAGCAAAGATACAGGTTGGTTGTCCTGCTCTCACCATCAGGATGAATATTTGATCTGAGGTTACTGTCATGGCACACTGCACTTTCCTTCTATCCCTCTCTCTCCTTCTCAGTAATAAAAAAGAAAAAGGGGGAAATTCTCCCTCAAAAAAGAACAAAAAAAGGGAAGATCATAGCCATTTTAACAGCATGTCAATTATTGTTTGAAACATGGGAATATGAAAAAACAATAACAGTTTGCTCCATTGGTTGCAATTCACATTGTAGAATAGAAATAGTAGAATAATAAAAAAAATTAATCCTAAATCCTTTTTCTTAGGCACAGTTGCTGACGATTAAACTGACATGTTTCAGATGGTACACTAACCACAGTTGAGACATTAGCATCAACTGCTATTTGTGGAATCATACATTCAATAATAGGTGGACAGCCACTATTGATCGTGGGAGTTGCAGAACCGACTATTATCATGTACACCTATATCTACAATTTTGCCAAAAACCAACCAAACCTGGGAGAAAAATTGTTTCTGCCATGGGCTGCATGGTAAGGGCTGAAAACTATGATATATCCTGCATTAGTTCATCGGTTACCTAACTAAATGTTATTTGTATTTCCTTTTCATTGGGCCTTTGACAGGGTTTGCATCTGGACGGCTGTGATGCTGTTCCTCATGGCAATGTTTAACGTTGCAGCTATTCTAAACAGATTTACAAGGTTTTCTGGAGAACTTTTTGGAATGTTAATCACAGTTTTGTTCATGCAAGAGGCGATCAAGGTATGCAATTTACATCTGTTGAATCTGAATTATTTACAGATTTTGTTTTAATTGCTGATCACGTAATATGCCATAGGGGATGTTCGGTGAATTCAGTGCCCCTGAGGGTAATGACCAAAGTCAACCAATTTTCCAGTTCCAGTGGCTATATGTTAATGGTCTGCTTGGACTAATCTTTTCAATGGGTGTACTATATACTTCATTAGCCAGCAGGAGCGCAAGATCATCGCTATACGGCACTGGTTTGTCATATGGCACATATGCACTTTCGATTCCATGATGGTTTCAGCACAATAATTACAAATGCTCCAGATAATACCTGCAGGATGGCAAAGGAGCTTAATTGCTGACTATGGTGTTCCACTGATGGTCATACTATGGACAGCATTGTCATATTCATTGCCAAGCAAGATCCCTTCAGGGGTCCCTAGGAGGCTCTTCACCCCACTTCCTTGGGAACCCAAGTCGCTCCAGCATTGGACAGTGGCAAAAGTAATTAGACAGTTTGTTACAATGATTTAAGGATCGAATTGCCATTGCGTTCAAAAAAAAAAAATTAAGGATCGAATTGCAGTTCTGCGAGCATTGAATATTTTTATGGCTATTCCACATTTTTCATTGATGAACTTGCAGGATCTGTTTTCAGTCCCTCCAGCACTTATATTCCTGGCTATTGTGCCTGCTGCGATGGTTGCAGGGCTCTATTTCTTTGACCACAGTGTAGCTTCACAGATGGCTCAGCAGAAGGAATTTAATTTGAAGAACCCATCAGCCTACCATTATGACATTTTGGTCCTGAGCTTGACAGTATGTCATGCTATTTTGTACTTACTTCTTTAACATAGCAGTGTTTTAAATTAGGGATGTCACTTAATAAAAAAAAGTTTTGGATAGTTTACCAATGAATTCCCACTGCTTGATGGAACTGGAAAAACATAAGAAATTAATGGTGGGACATAGTAGTTAAAAATTGCATATGTGATAGCGTTTTTTATAGACAAACATGATATCAGACGCTTTATTAATATGTTTCTTCTTCTTATACGATGGAAATGTGGTGTAGACCTTGATCTGTGGTCTTCTTGGCATCCCTCCATCTAATGGAGTACTTCCCCAGTCTCCCATGCATACAAGAAGCCTAGCTGTCCTCAAGAGGCAGGTTGGTGTTCACATGCATACCTGTGGTCTGTTATACAATTAAATTTGCTCATCTGCCCTCTCTGGCTCTCTTTCATTTCAAATAGTTGCTTCGCAAAAAGATGGTCCAAACTGCGAAGGAGGGCATGATGAATAATGCTACCAGTTCCGAAGTTTATGGCAAAATGCAAGATGTTTTCATAAAAATGGACCATGGAGGCGACGTGAGTATTATCCACCAAACATTTACACTGTCACATGCCATGTTCTTCTTACTGAATTGCTAAGGCTCTGTTAGTTGTAGTGGTGGCTTATCAAATGCACCCAATTATTTCAGATGATAGATATTAGAGTTAGTTGAAGAATGTTTGTAAAACTATAATGGCGACATCTTTCTAGAATTTGTAAAGGCTAACTGCATACTGTCCCTAAATTACAATGCTGTTCCATTTTGTTTGATGCCTCTATTTTGTTTTGCTTTCACTTTCAGAGTTTTTTTTTTTACCTTTGTTGCAAGTGGAATATTACTGTCTGAAATCATTCCCCTACTCATTGTTTCAGAAATTGCTCCAGAAATCATCCTGATAATACTTGTGTAATGTAAGAGACAAAAGGAACGAAAATCTCATCAACTACCTGAAAAGCACTAAGAATTCATCTGTAAAATTGTGCAGTCTGTTTTCGCACACAAAGATCTGAAGGACTTGAAGGATGCAATTATTCCAGAGGGGAACGGAGCAGGGACAGTGCCTGAAGTATTTGATCCTGAAAAGCATGTAGATGCCTACTTGCCTGTCCGGGTGAACGAGCAGAGAGTAAGCAATCTGTTGCAGTCCCTGTTGATCGCTGGTTGTATCGGAATTACGCCGCTCATTCAGAGGATACCAACATCAGTCCTCTGGGGTTACTTTGCCTATATGTCCATCGACAGCCTTCCCGGGAACCAGTTCTGGGAGAGGATACAAGTTCTTTTCATCACGCCTCAAAGGCGCTACAAGTAAGCCTTGTTAGCTGTAGTAAAATTTTCATTTCTTATCACCTTAGGTATGTACCTATGAAGAAAGGCTATGTGTGCTTCAGCTGGGCTTAACCCAGTTTTGATCTACGAAGCTGCCAGACATCGCAGTGATTATCTGTTTGTTATAACTCTGGCAGGGTTCTTGAAGGAGCACACGCATCCTTCATGGAGTCAGTGCCTTTCAACACAATATGTGCCTTCACACTCTTCCAGCTAATCTATCTGTTGATCGTCTTTGGGATGACATGGATACCAGTAGCAGGAATCCTCTTCCCGCTCCTCTTCTTCTTCCTCATTGTCATCAGGCAGCACTTGATCCCGAAATATTTCGATTCGAGCCACCTGAGGGAATTAGATGCTGCCGAGTACGAAGAACTCGAAGGTTTTACGCCTGATCCGTCAGTGGTATGGAGTCCTGACCTACCTGGTTTTATCAATTGCCCATTCACTTTCCTAGCATATACAGTATTATTATGCAACAAAGGCTACTCCATCTCGGGATTGTTGACATGTCCCTTCTCACGCAGTGTGAGGACGAGTCTGTTCGCAGCAGAGATGCTCAGCCTGGATATGCTTCTGAAATACTGGAGGAATTCACGACTCACCGTGGAGAGCTGAAGCGCAGGAACTCTAGCTTCCGTGATGGGAGACTACTCCAGGTAACATTTCGCGCAAACAATTTGTAGTTAGTACCACTGGTTTTCGCTCGCCTTGAACGTTGGAGTTGGAACTTGATATTGCTTTATTGTTTTGGTTTGGCAGCTTAACTCTGTCAAGATGACGAGAGAGCTTTCTCGGGCTCCTTCTCGGAGAGAGCTTTCTCGGGCTCCTTCTCGGATTCCAAGAATCGTGGAACAATAAGGGGAGTAACCATTGTTTCTGAATCGGAACTCCAATTAAGCATGGGGGTGCGAAGTCTCATGGCCTGATCGCTCACGAGATTATTTTCTGAAGCAAGTAACTCATTTTAGGTACTGACTTTGGGGGAAAAGACACGGGGGTGGGCAGAGGAATGTAGCAGAACTGGACATAGTTTTTTTTGGACCTGGAGACAAAAAAAAAAAACACAACACATTGTAGCATTTGAACCTTTGTATCTCAGAGCTAAAATTCGTAATGTGCATAGAAGTCGAACTGAGATGAATAAACAAAGCAACTATCAGCGGATTCGCATTTTAAAAAAAAAACTTACAGAGTTACCAATTTCTAGGTTACAAATAGATAACCTAGGTTACCTCTAAAAGGAATATTTTTTTTAGCCTGCAAATATCCTTCCGTCAAAAGGAATATTTTTTTAGCAAGACGTCAAACTTCAGAGGTATAATAATTGTTCTTAATTAGTTTGACCACTGAACTCTGAGATTAGATACACCCAGACCACCCTCGTCCTCTGGCTTGCATACCATTTCCCAAGTTGCTAAGTTATGACTTTTTTTTTTCTGTTGATACGTGACCTACGGCAAAGACAGTTTTTTCGGTATATATCAATTTATTTAGTAACAGTGGTTGGAAATTTAAAGGTACAGGAAGAGTATGGGATTGTGCAGTGATAACATAACCGATAAGTTGCAGCCTTTCTGAATATCCTAGGAACATGTAGAACTAGCAACAACTTCACAAATTTGGGTTGAAGAGAATTTAAACTTGAAACATGAGCATTCGACCCAACCAGTTGAATAGACTCATTTCATGAGTTCATGTCAAATAATTTGAGTCATATTGAATATTATTGTGTCGTGAATTGAGCGAAGCTCAGCTGGTTAGGTTCCTTGTGGTAGAGCATGTCCACCCGGATTTAAGTCCTTGACTTGACGTAAGTGTTCGTATTATCCAGGATTTAACGGTGTTACTCTTTCAGTGATAAACGACGTTTCCCGCGATAGCGAAACGTCTGCGTGACTCTGTCAATCTTGAGATCAGCCGGTTCAACGTAGGTTCTCCGAAAGTGCTTGGCCTGGGTAGAAGGTATGGTGTGTGTGCAGCGAGTGACCGAGTGTAGTACATGTAAAGTGTCTGCGTTTTGCTTCATATCTTGAGAACCCTGCTTATGAAAAAGGCTAACATGCATGTCAGTATTTGGGCTTCTAGTCTATCTAGATTTGATTCAGCATGGTCCAGCCTTGTTCCTTTTTATACGGTGTTTGGATCTAAGGGCAAACGGGTCGGTCCATGTGGCCTTTTAATTTGGGCCGGAGATGAAAGGGGAGAAAATAGAGATGGCATAGTTTGCGCCTTTACGTGGGCGGCATCATTTCCTGGATGCGCTCTTTGGATTCCCCTAGGCCCTAGCTGGCAAGCTATCATCGGAAGGCAGATGAGTTTCCCCGCGGACGCGTATAACAAACCGATTACCGATGCAGATGTGTACGGCTGTTACGTACGGAGTACTAGTATCCATCCATCTCCAGAGCTAGCCAGCAGACTGACTGGGCTCCTCGGCCCGCGTGGTGCAATGCAATGGACAGACGCGGGCGGCCGCGGTGGCGGTGAGTCAGCGTGTGGCGGCGAGAGAGCCGGAAGCTACGCAGAAGCAGCCAGGCCGCACCGCGTCTAGCTCAAACCACCAGATCCATGATCCTCTTCTCCCGCGCGCTACCTTGCTTATTAGTTTGTTTGTTAGGATTAGCCGTGGAATTGAAAGCAAACCACGCGCCCACAGCATGCAGCTTATAGTTGGCCAACGGGCCGGCCCGACCTGGCCGGACCCGGGCCAAGCACGGCCAGCAGGGGGATGTGCCCCTCTAGTTATCGTGCCTAGCCTTCGGCCCAAGCATGACCCCATAGGCTGAAATCCGTGCCGTGCTGGTCTAGTAAGCATGACCAAATCCGTGGGCCGTGTCAGCCCACAGCCCGGTGCCATTAAAACACCTCAAACTGCTTCTCTCATTCAACACTTCTCCATTTTCACAATCACATATCACAATTCATTCACATTTTAGTATTTCAAATTCACAAGTAATAAACCGATCACAGTCACAGATTCTCAATTCTAAGTTTCTAACAAAAGCCACCAAAGGAGACAAGAGAATTAAAATAACTGAGTTGTTTGTGCAATGCTGCCTCATTAAAAACCTTTCTAGGTAAAATTCACCCTTGTGAGAAATCCTAGAAAGAGAAAAAGAGTGCAGCACAGCTCTTAATAAGTCTTCCATCATTGTTCAAAGGTCCCAAGTCACACTGTCACAATCACAGATGACAGATACAAAATGGAAATAACAGATTAATTACCAACAACCCTAGATGTACCAGCCCCAGATGAACCAGCCATAGCCCCAGATGAACCAGCAGTACCAGCAGCCCCATCTGCATCTTCATCGAGGTACAGATTCTTGAAGGAGTCCTCCAGCTCTTGGTTGTCAACAGCATGTTGTAATATGCTTTCTACCAACTCCTAATCCTTTGTGCAGGCCAGCATCTCCACAGTTTCAGGAAACAGACGACGTCGCCGCTCTTCAATTATCCTTCCTGTCAAGCTAAAATATGATTTCGAAAAGACAGTAGAAATAGGAATAGACATAATATCTCTAGCTATTATAGATAGGATTGGATAGATTAATTTGTGGTCACGCCACCAGAGAAGTAAATCAAAATCCTCATATGCAGTGACATTGTCACTGTCCAGATAAACCGAGAGCTCATTAGCAGTAGAAGCAGATGAAGAGAAAGTGGGGGGCACAGGCAGGGGAAGGACCAACAACAGATACAGGGCCTCCAAAGATTCTTCTCCATACCTGTTTTCTCTTACCTGTATGGCTTGCCGGCTGTGCAACCCTTTGACTCCTAGCTGCACCAAACTTTCTCTCATATTTGTTAAATAACTTGTAAATTTTAGTTTTCACATCAGCATAATATGAAGTATAATCATAACCAGTGCTCTCTTTAAGTAATTCTAGGACTCTAAATAAACCTCTCATCTTAGCTCTAGAATGAATGCAAATGAATATAACAGAGGTATATGCTGCCAATATTTAAGAAATTTAAACTTCATAGGATATACAACAGCAATTAGATTTTGATCTTTTTCACTTGCATGTAAATGAGAAGCAATTTCTAGCAGATGGTGCAAGATAAGTGGACTAGTTGGATACTAAACACCAAAAAGAACAACAATGGAGTCATAAAATAGTTCCAGAAACTCTAATATCTTTTCAGCTATATACCAATGCCTTGCAGACAACAATTCAGAGCCATAATTGGAATTAATGAACACAAAAAAACATGCTTATATGGAACCAAGTGTTTAAGCATAAGGGGCCTATTCGCTTGTCTAAATTCTGGAGGAATATGGATGGTTTGGAGGAATGCTGGAGGAATTTGTGAGAGAAAAATACTGTTCCGGATGAAAAAATAAGCGAATCAAGCCAGGTTTAAAGGCACGTGAACGGGGCCAAGATATGTAGCATTCCATCTAACATCCATATCTAAACCAAACTTTCTAGGTCTAGCATCCCGAGCAGTACAGTAGTTCTTAAACATAGCAATTCTTTGATTAGAGGAATTTAAGAAGTTAATAGTAGTTCTAAAATCTTCTGTGTAAGGTTTGAACCTCTTTAAACCAGATTTTACAATCAGATTAATGATATGACAAGCATAACGTTGATGCATAAGACTATACTTACGCTTAGAAGGATCAACAGGCTCAGGTGTAGGATCAAGACCAAAATAACCAGCAAACATAGGTGTCAAAGTTTCCATAGCCTTAGCATTAGAAGAATCATTGTCTAGAGGTACAGAGAAAATCTTATCAATGAGACCAAACTCCTCAACCACACAAGTAACTCTTTCAGCAATATTTTTACCAGTATGTTTCACCTCAATCAACCTAAGTCCAATAACCTTTTTCTGTAACTCCCAATCAACACTAACAAAATAAGCAACAACACTAATGTAATCCTCCTTAGCATTACCAGACTAAATGTCTGATGTCAGAGCAACAGAGGAAGCAACAGACAACACATAATTCTTAAGCATATTACGATGTTCAGTAAACAGTTTACTCAGATCTCTAGTGGTAGTCTGTCTAGATACTTTAACAAACCTAGGGTTATGAGCACAGACAATGTAATTCTCCCAGGCCTCTGTCTCACCAATACCTAATGGCAAATCAAGCCTAGCAATCAAGCGACACAATTTAGATCTAGCAACATTAGGTTTATAGTCCCAGTTATGCACAGAACCATCAGTATTGTAAGCAAGCCTTGACTGAACCATAGCAGCTTGATCAGTTTTCTGCCTATAAGATTTCTGGTGCCTCTTCAAGTGCTCAGTGCCAGCATTAGATCTAGCAGACAAAGTATGCTTACACATTTTACAGGTAGCTTTAGTGTAGATTTTTCTACCATTCACAGTCTCATAGATCTCATCAAAATCAGCCCACACAGTAGATTTACGCTTACCAACACTAGGCCCAGAAGAGGTACCAGTACTAGCAACAAATGGAGTTGAGCCATTGGAGTAGACCAGGGCCCCAGTCGTCGTCGCCCCTTCACCACCGTCGTCGTCTAGATCGATCGGAGCAGTAGAGCTGCTACCGACATGGTTACCGAACAAGGCAGCAGTGTCTTCTTGGGTGTCGTCGTCGTCCTTAGGTGCCAGGCCTACCGCGATCAGATCATCGTTGCCGGTGAGCAGCCAGATGATTTCGTCATCAACACCAGCCATGGCGCCCTCGACCACGGAGGGCTCTCCAGCACCGTTCCTCAATGGTGCGCGGGGCCGCCTTGGTCGCTCTATGCCATAGCTAGAGGACGACGCATCGGCTACCGACCTGCGTAAAGACATGGAGGAGGAGGAAAACAATATATCAGAATAGATCAATCATCATTCATCAATGGAAGAAGTGGCGGGTTAGTGTTAGGGTT